CCAGCTTCGAGTGGTCTCAAAAAAGGAAGTGACGACTAATAAAAGCACTCAGGGCAAAGAAATGTTGCATAGCTGCGACTGAGCCATTTTAGAGAGAGATATTTTGCAGCTCTGCGTTATATCTGCAACCCTGTTTCAGTTCATAGCAATGCTTTTACACCGTTTTGGTACCATGGCACATATAATTGCTTCGACGGAGCTATTTTGCTGCCGGAAACGAGTGGGGCATTTGACGGAAGACGAGCTTGTGGTGCAAAATGCGGTGGAAATTGCACGCGAGCTGCAGGCCATCCGCGGAGTCGACGAGAATGCTCCGCCGGTATGATTTCTGTCTTTTACTGTAACAGCACCGATCGCCACTCTTTTCATACATTACTTTTTCTAGCATTTCGCACACTGCGGTACTTTAGCGTGCGATAAATTTCAGGAGGAGCAGGCGATCTCGCGTCGCAACATCGTGCGCCACCTGGAGTCCTCGAAGCGCTCCATGTATCGGCCGAAGACCGAAACACTTGATGCCGCCTTCCGCAAGCGATTCTTCGCACTGTCCAGCATTCAACCGGTGGATCGAAGCAGCAGCGAGAGACGTCTCACACTGCGGCGCAACACCATTCGGGCCATCGAGCGACGTCGCAACTCGATCTTCGGCGCGCAGCAACAAACTAGCGACGTAAGCCTTTTTCCTGAGGGCTGGCGCACAGCCACATCGCGCGCACGTTCACATTTAAATCGCTCGACATGCAGCAGCTGGCAACCGGAGTTCGCAGCTATACAGCTGGCAGCGACGATGCGTGCCTAGACAAAAACTGCTCTGGAGCTGCGACAGGCCACGGCTTTGCTCGATTTGGCGTGCGCTATGGAGCCCTCGTAGCACACTATATAAGGCGCTTTTTTTACCATATTTCTCACTTTTATGCGTTTTTGCTTCGCATCTTTATAGCAGCGCTATAGCACTATAGAGCAAAAACGCATGTTGTTGAAAGGTCGTCAGTTTGTGTATGCGTATGCATGTGTCCGGAAGCCAGTGAGCACTGTCACTCACTTTCATCTCAGCCAGAAAAGCTGGAAGGCTGGAATTTTGGGTATATGTTCTACCACGAGTATCATCCTCTCGTTTTAAAATTTTTGCTCATACGCACCTAGACCCCGCGTACGGATCCCTTAAAAAATATGCATATTTCTTTGGGGGGAAACGATTTCGCGAACCAAGCAAGGTACAAAGCTGGGACTCCGCAAACTTCTTTGTGCATGTGTGAGCTAAAGATTTCAAATTCAGTTGCTGTGCACGCTTGTGCAGTGTGTACGACCACGTCAAAGTTTGCAGCTTGGTACTGTGCTAACTCGATATTTGCCGGATAAAAGTGGCTGAAATTTTGTCAGCATGTTTGTCGCCCATCTGGGAAATCGTATGACTAAATTGAGTTCTGATCTGCACTTGCGACACGACTTGGGGCACTTCAAAGATATTTGTAGGGAAGTGACTATTTCGCTTGTCGAATAAGATGCGAGGCTGAAACTTCGCTAGGATATTTTACTTTTAAGTGCGGTCTTAATTCTGCTTGGAAGTGAAAAACCCTGTAGGTGGGCATGAAAAATACTCAACTTTATTGAAAAATCAGAAACGAGTGTATTTTGTGGCGAACGACCTCCCTTATCCTCCCCCAACATATAAATGAACTCATTTGTGTATTTGGATTTTTTGACGAACGACCGCTTTAGCAACATTTCCACTTTTCAACGAGCTGGAAATTTGCGTTTTCTCGAAGAGCGAGGGCATTTACCGGAAAACGACCGGGCTTCATGCAAGAAACTGGTAACCATGTACCTGGAGGTCCAAGGTGTCCTGTAATGCAATATCTTCATTCCAACCGACGCCTTCTCTGCTGCATGTCGGAATAGGCCAGAGCACAGCCAGTATGAGCCCAGTTGTTAAGTACAGCGTAGGGGTCATTCCTGCCATTAGTAGTCTGCGAGTTAAGTGCAAAAACGTACTATCATCACTAGCAAGCCTGGTGCGTTAGCCTGTGTTGTTGTTGTTGTTGTTGT